TCATCTACCTTTCCTGCAGATACCAGCCAAACCCTCCTGTGCTGCTGAGAGGAGGAACTTCCTTGTGGGGGAAGAGGAGCGACAGACACTGATCTTGTGACACAGAGACACAGACATCTCTTGTCTGTGGTGACCAGGGACAGCAGCCAGGGCACGGCTGGGGCTGGGCCAGGGCAGCTCAGGCTGAGATCAGGGCAAGGCTCTTCCCCCAGAGGGTGCTGGCACTGCCCAGGCTCCCCAGGGAATGGGCACGGCCCCGAGGCTGCCAGAGCTCCAGGAGCCTTTGGCCAGCGCTGCCAGGGATGCCCAGGGTGGGGTTGTTGGGGGGTCTGGGCAGGGACAGGGGCTGGGCTGGGTGATCCTGGTGGGTCCCTTCCTGCTCAGCTTCTTCTGTGACCCTGTAGTAGACCAAGTGTGAAAAGCTGCTTTAAATCACACCTGGCAGCCCCTGCATGTCCCGGGGAGTCAGTGCAGTCCCTGGATTTGTCACTTGGGAATTATTGAGGCCAGAGGATGAGTAAAGGAGAATCAGTATGTGAAGAGAGCAGGTCTTGATCCCTGGTGCTGCTCAGCTGTTTGGGTCTGGTGAGGCTCTTGGTGGGTTGGGACGTGCTGGAGGTGCTGTGGGGTGGCAGCAGGGCAGGGATGGAGCCCAGCTTGTGCTTCACCACTCACTATCCCATCCTGCTCCTCAAGGACAGAGCAGGGATGGCAACTCCAGCAGGAGCCCCTGGTTTGGGAGATGGAAACCACTCACGGGGAGGGAAGAGGGGCTCAGTCCTTCTCAGCCCCCCTGTTCTGGGCTGCTGTGATGGGGAGCAAATGCTGACTCAGACTCTCCCTGCTGGAATATAATTATAGGATGATTTTATTAATTTAATGCCTAGATCAGTTCCTTTTTTTTCTGGCTGTTACAAGGTGTGGATTTAGATTGTCAAAGAGGTTTCAGTTTAAAAGGTGTAAACACCCTACATTTTCTCTTTGGCTTTGGCTCACCAGCCAAGCAAATCTAATAATGGGTGGAGCAGAGAAAAGCCACAGTAAGGAGATTCCTTCTGGAGCTGAGGATGCAGATTAACCCTCAAAGACTTCCAGAGAGGTCCCTGGTGTGTGAGAAGCCACTGGGTCTTTGCTCTGTCATTAATACTGCCTTGCAGACTTTCTCATCTCCCTTTGGAGGCGAGGTGGCTGCTGGCTGTCATTGCTCATGTTGAAAGTTGGGCTCTATAAATTGGTTGTTTTTGGTTTTAATAAATCTCTATATATGGGGGCTCTTTGGTGGCTGGTCTGGGTGCAGCCTGAGTCCCGACAGCCTGACACAAGGTTGACTTCCCTTTTCTAAATGAGATCTGCATGACTACTCAGATTTATGCTTTGTTGGGCAATGTTTGCCCTGGCTTCTCTTTCCTGGATATTCTATTAGTCATTACTGTTCAAATCCTAGCAAATAAATAAATGATTTTTGCTATGGCAACAAGAACCTATCAGTTGAACAGCACAATATTTCCTGAAAAGCCTGATTTACTCTTTTCAGTGTGTCTGATTGCTGGGCAGAGTATTTATATATAAATTTCTATATATATGTATATATGAGTTTGGGTTGGACCCTGGGCTTGTGACACAGCTGTGGGTGAAGCCTCCAGCTGAGCAAAGAGTGACAAATCCCTGCAAACATCCACAGCTGAAGGGTGCAAAATTCTTCCTTGCCACAACTGGCAGCTGCTGCTGGGGCAGAAGCAGGGAAGCAGTGCTGAGACAGGCTGAGCAGAGGCCTCTGGCTGGGCTCCAGCGAGCTTGGCTCTGCTGGGACACGCTTTTCTTCTAACGAAACGTCCCCTGGTGCCTTTTGTGTTCCCATAAAAGTCCCTGTGGTCTGGCAAGGCACTGCTGGCTGTGCAAACCTGTTGTCTGCGCCATGATGGCTCTTGGTTTTCCTTTTTGGCTGGTTCCTGGGACTGCAGCTGCCTGTGTTCCTTGCACACAGCACTCAGCTGTGCTCTGTAGCCACTCAGAGCATTTCTCTGCCCCATGTGTCCCCTGGTTTTGCCTGAATGCTTTGCCCTCCCTGTCCTGCTGGGCCAAGCAGAGCTGCTTTGTGCTTCCCTGAAAGCCCCTTGTGCTTAGAGAGGGGAGCTCGGGTGCTGCCACAGCAGGGTTTGGGGTTTGGGGCTCTCTGCCCATGGGCAGGGCTGACTGAGTGCCCCAGGGTCCATCCTGTGCCAGTGCCTGGTTGTGCCCCGTGTTTGCTCTGCCTGGGTGTGCCCAGAGCTTTACTGCAGCAGCCCTGGGGCTCTGCCGGGTGCAGGCTCTGGGAGCAGGGGCTGGGATGTGCCACAGGGCAGCCCAGTGTGGTTTGGGGGAACTTGTGCCACACACAGCTGCCTGTGTGAGCCTTGCAGGTGATCTTGGCCCCAGCTGTGCCCTGGGCCAGGGGCTGGCTGGCTGCTCTGTGTCAGGGGCTCCAGCATTGCCTCCTGCTTGAACTGGCTGTGCAGAGTGGGAGCTGTTGGGTTTGGGGCTGTTGGTGTTGTCACTGGGCTCTGGGTGGGGTGTGGGTGTCTCCAGGCCATTTCTGCTCTGTTCTGCTCTCTGGTTTTGCTCCCTGCTGAGGCTGTTTTCTCCTCCAGCACTGCATGCACCTTTGGTCCAAACTGGACTCAAAGTAATTTTTCTCAGAGATTTTCTCCAGATAGCAGAAAACCAGGAACATTTAGTTCCATCTCCCAAGCTTAAATTTAAACCCCAAGGCATATCTCTCCCATCTGCTTTGTTTTCCATATTCAGCTAAGTACTTCTTGTCCCTCAGTGCCATTGGCAGCACTGGTCAGTGGCCTCTGTGCAGTTTGTGGTTCTGGGATAGCTCCTGGGCTTCCAGGAGCCCTGGGCACCTCCACCCTGGTGGCCTTTGTGCCTGGCAGCGTGGCTCATCCCCACAGGACAGACACCACATTGTGAGCAGTCACAGCCTGGCTCGGATCAGGGAGCATCTAGGTCAGCAGCAGGGATGGGAAATTCAGGGAGCAGCAACTGGGATGCTCTCAGCTTCAGGGCCATTTCATTCCAGTCCCTTTTCTCTGAAGTAGAATCACTCTTCTCCTCTGTGTAATTTGGGGGAACTCAAAGTAGCTGGGACAGGGAATGGGGAAAGGCAGCTGGTTCCCTCCATGCAGTTTCCATCCTGCCTTCTCCTGGGAGCAGGGCAAGGGAGCCAGCCTGTGTCCAAGGTCCATCCTGCCCTGGGGCAGAGTAGCTCCAGCTCCAGCTGTGGTTTGCAGTGTGCAGGAGCTGCAGCTGCTCCCTCTGGTACCCAGATTCAAACTAAGCTCCCCTTGCTGCTTTGCTGAAAGCAGCAGTGAAATGCTCCCTGTCCTGCTCTGATCCCTCCAGAGCTCCAGGGATCCTGTGCATGGGCAGCACGGGTGGCACTGTGACCTGCTGGCAGCTCTGGCTCTTGGAGACGTCAGGTGTGACTTTAGCAGCCCCTAATAATGTCACTCCAGCGCTCCAACCACTGCTGTGACAGGGGATGGGTGCACCTGGGCACTCTGGGTGCTTGGGGCCAGCTCCCACTCCCCAGCCTCAGGGATTTTCTGTATGACAGAACTATGGGATAAATGTGCTGCCCTTGCCCCTGGCCTGTCATTGCACAGCATCTGGAGAGATCAGAACCATCGGGCTCCTGCCACCTGTCACAAGTTGCCATGTCCTTTCCATTCTGTTCATAACCCTATTAGCTGAATTTTAATTGTGTTTAGAAGTAAAGGGATCACAACACCCTTTTAGACAGCTGCTCCTGAACCTTGATCTGTGTTGGCTAAATACTTCCCTACTTTTGGCATGAACCTATTCCTGGCAAGCTTATCCTCCTTATTTGTCTGATGTGTGCTGGCATCAGCAATTCCATGCTCCTTGGTGGTTATTTTCTGGAGTACTTACAAAGAGCTGTTATGCTTTTTCTCCACCTTCACTTTTGCTGGTGTGAAGTTTTTGCCAGTGAATCTGCTGTGCAGCTGTTGAGGTGACCTGTAACCAGATCCCTGGAGCACAGTGGTAGGTAATGATTGGGACAGGCAGGGCTGCAGGGGACAAACCCCTCCCTCAGCTTTCCTTTTCAGCTTGGACAAGCACAGCTGCACAGGGAGGAGAGAGCCTGGCAGTCCCTATTTCCAGCAGAAATGCCTTCCTTCATTCCTGGTTTATTTAAGCAGCATCCTAATGATGATTACAGTCCTGTAGCCAATCCCAAAGTTTCTTCCTCAATTATTCACAGGTGATGAACTTCTCTTAGGGCAAAGGTTGCTCTTAAACTTGATTCCATTTTTAGTGTTTTTGCGCTCCGGTTTTCTTCATGGCCATAAAATTCCGGTTAGCCCTCGATGAACTCTTGTGTTTGCGTCACTTTCATGTCTCAGTTTCCCAGTTACGGTGGAAAGGTCATTAGTGACAATACCAGATAAAACTGGTTTCAAACCAGAACCTTTAAGGCCTCCCCCTTGTCCAGTATTTTCCCTGTCTGCTACCACCTGTTACCATCTCTCCTTTAGCTGCTTCCTTTTTCTCCCATCTGGTTTTAAGCCCTGTTTAATGTAGCTTAAATAGCTCTTTGCCAGAATGTCCTCCTAAGACTGGAGTCCTGATGATGGAGGTTTCTGTTTCCTGGAGCTTGGATACACAAAGGCATTAGCAATGTCACCTTTCCAACGTGTGGGTGCTTTCCTGCTTGTCTCTCCCGTGACAGACACGATGGCAGCTCCTGCTGGGTGCCAGTGTGAGGAGCTGGCAGAGGGCACAAAGACAGAGGTGCTCCAGACCCCTGGGCCTCCTGCCTCCATCCCATCCATTTGGCTCTGCCTTTGGGGTTTCCCTCAGCGTGGCAAGAGATCCACCAAGGCCCTTGGGGAGGGACTGGGGGGGCTGCAGTGGCTGCTGTGCCAGAGCCAGTGTGGGGATCAGTGGGTTCTTGGGCTTCTCCCTGATAATTCCTCTTTGCTGTTGCCCAGATGAAGATCTCTTTCAACGAGACAAGTTTGCAGACGATGTTTGAGTACCCCTCAGAGAGCTCCCTGGCAGAAGAGGATGAAGAAGAGGAAGGACACGCTTCTGAAACGGAGGAAAAATCTCGTACCTTTTACATTCCACGCCCAAACAGCACTTTGCATCCCAGTACTCCTAACTCAGGTGAGTGAGGCACTGTGTTGGCACCATGGGGTTTCTGGTGCTGCCTGACACTGCCCATGTTTGCCACAGGCCCTTAAGGGATTCCACACAAGTGGAAATGCTAGTGGAGGTGAACAGGGAGCTGCAGATGGACATCCCAGCTGTCCCTGCTGGGATCCTGGTCCCACTTCTTTTTGGGGTGGTGAGGAATATTTACCTCATCTTTCTCCTTCCAGCAGATTTATCCAGCTACACCCCAAAGCACTCCGTGAAGTTCAGCGAGTGGCAGGAGCAGAAGTATGAGGGTCCTGCTGCAGAGGGATCCCTCCCAAAGGAAGCTGATTCCCATGGGAACCAAGTCATGGTGAGGCTATAAATAACCAGCTCTTGTGCTCCCTTGTGGGGTGGGGGTTGTTCCAGGCAGTGGATGGGACAGGATGTGCCTTTCCCTGCACACCTGTGTTTGTGTTCCTGCCCAGGGAGCTGTGTCACTGCTCCCAAAGGGACCAACACACCGTCCCACTGCCACTACCACACCTGGCCCTCCCCGGCCCTGTGAAGGAGACTCAAGGCAGCTGGCACACTCTGCTCAGCACAGGAAAGACATGGATTGTTGGAACAAGTCCAGAGGAGACCATGGGGATGCTCCAAGGGCTGGAGCCCTTCTGCTCTGGAACCAGCCTGGGAGAGCTGGGGGTGTTCACCTGGAGAAGAGGAGGTTCCAGGGAGATCTCAGAGTCCCCTCCAGTGCCTAAAGAGGGCTTATAAAAAACAGGGAGATTGATTTTTTTTTTTTTTTCTTTACATGGGCAGGTGATAGGACAAGGGGGAACGGTTTTAAACTAAAAGAGATTTAGATTAGATTTTGGGAAGAAATTGTTCCCTGTGATGGTGGTGAAGCCTTGGTGCAGGGTGGCTGCTCCTGGATCCCTGGAAGTGTCCAAGGCCAGGCTGGATGGGACTTGGAGTGACCTGGGACAGTGGGAGGTGTCCCTGCCATGGCAGGAGGTTGGAACAAGGTGGGTTTAAGACCCCTTCCAACCCAAACCATTGCAGGACGTTCTGATACTCCAGGGCACGTTTGGAGGGGAGCACTAACGAAACACACCCAGCTGGCCCGGGTAGGGTGCCAAGGCAGGGTGAGGGGCTCCTTTGGGCCGGTCTGACCGCGGTGTGTGCTCTGCCCACAGCTCACCCCGGCGGAGAAGGGCGGTGTCTCGGATTTCAGCAGCGAGCCCGCGCTCTATTTCTGAGCTGCTCCGCGGCTCTGGGCACGGTGGGGCAGCGCAGCCCGCCCAGAGCCGTGCCCGCACCGCTGCTCCCGGATCTGCTGCCAAGGCTGGACCAGCTGCCCTCGGGCATCTTCGGAGGATATTTGCACTGGATTTTGGGACCGAATTACTGCTTTCAAGGCATATGATTTATTCTGCCTGTGGCCTTGCATATTCCTTGCTCAAGATCAGCTGCCGGTTAGGCAAGTGTGGGAAGGACATCTGTAAGCCCGGGATGGATGTTGATTTTTCTCAGTGCTTGTCTGAGTCCAGGCACTGCAGGGTCTGGACAGCTTTTGCAACCCTTCTCCCCAATGGAGGATGGCACTGGGCAGTTAGGTGGGTTCACAGCATACCTGTGATTTGACACATTGGGTGTCAGTTTGGAAAACCATTGAAGGTTCATGGTTTGTCCTTGGCATGTTTCCAGCTCTGGTTTCACTGAAACATCGTGGAATTCATGTGCCAGTTACATGTTTGTGGAGCTCACTGAACACCCTGAGGGAGGGATGGGAAGAGCAATGAATGCCTTTAGCTTTAGATGTTATTTTTGCACCAATTAGTAATGTCCAGGCTGCTTCCAGCCTATTAAGATTCCCAAACATTGGCCATAGCTTTGGTCTGTCCTTCCCAACTCTGGCATCCAGTCTCTTGGGGTTGCTGATTGTGCTCCAGTTTGCCACCTCCTCTTGTTGCTTTGTTCCAAATCTGATTGATCTCTCTTGGTTGCTTCCTTCAAGCCACACTTGCTCTGCTCATCTAGTCAAAGCACAGGAGGGAAGTTTCACTCCATTCTTCTGCAGAACTTGAACAAGGAATGTGGGTTATTTTTGTTTTTTCTAGGATTTTTATAGTTCTATTATAATTGTTTAATGCAGCCAATATGCAAAGGAATCTACTAGAATCTTCCATTCAAGTTTTCTACTACTGTAAACTCAGGGTCAAAATTGCACTCTGGACCAGATGGAGCAGTGCTGCTAATGTGATTTGTACTTTGGGATTAAAAGAGATGTGGTGAGAACAGATCAGGCCTCTTTGGGCTTTATGGAATGAGTGGGGCGTGATCCAAAGGAACAGGCTGCTGTCTTTGATTAAATTTTATGGTTACTGGTTTGTCTATTATAGATGATGAATGTCTGCTCAAGTGACACTGCTCTGTGAACTGAAAATGCTCTGCATACCTTGCACTTGGTTTGGTGTCTGTTGTAGCAGCAAGGGAAGGTTGGTCTACTGAAAAACACAGGATTAAATGTTAGGACATACCTACTTGTAGCTGTTCCCTTCTGCCCTGGGTGCCTAAATTCTTTTGGAAAGATAATGAAAAAAAAAAAAAGCTAAAAAGCTACTCAGTAGTTTTAGATGTTGGCTGGGGGGGCCACAAAGAAACATTTTGCACCTCCTTGTCCTTCCAAGCTAATTTGAGATCTGCTGCCTGTGTGACTTGCCAGGAGCAAGATGAATCTGCAGTGCATCTGCCTGGGACATGACACAAGGACCATGGAGTTCCATGTGTTGAGGCTTCTCCCATTAATAAAATACTTCAGGATAAGGTGCTGAGACTGGTGTAGAATGAGGGAAAATGTGAGACTGCTGGTGACTGCTAGATTTAAGGGGTGAATTTTCAGCACAGCTTTTCTAGCACAATGGTCCCAGTGAGCATCTCCCCCTTGGAAAAGCCCAGGTCAGTTTAAGGCAGCTCTGTTTCTTGCAGAACTGCAGGAGGTAAAGCAAAGCTGCTTTCGCAGGAGGTAACTGCAAAGAGGTAAAGCAAACTGCAGGAGGTAAAGCAAACTGCAGGAGGTAAAGCAAAGCTGCTTTCAACTCAAGTTAGGGACAAGGGGTGTGAACTAGCCCAGGCTTAGTTCTCCTATGGATCCATGAGGAATGCTAAAGCCAACACTGCCCTGCAGCTCCACCACTGCTCTGGTTCTCTGTGAGTTCATGCTGTGCCTGCAGCCCTGTGGGCAGGACAGCTCGGGGTGTGGGGGTGCAGAGCTGCTGCTGGCTCTCTGCTCCTTCTCCTGGTGATGCTGCTCCATGCACCTCGGAGCTGTGATTCAGCACTCCTCTGCACTTCCCAGCTTCCTGCTCTAATCCCTGCCCGGGCACTCCAGCTGCCTCCAGGCAGAGCAGGATGAGGGCAGTCCTGAGCACAGGAACATCAGCGGATAGGTCACTCCTGGGATGTGCCTCAGTATGTGCTCAAAATGAAGGGTATTTTTGTGTAAATGCCTACCCTGCTCTGTAGCATTGGAGGATCTGCTTTAGTGGGTCTCTGACTAATACCAAAGCACATCTGAAAGGAAAATTTACTTCTGCAAAGCAAAGGCTTTTATTAAATGTGGCATCCTTGGACCACAAAGCAGCTCTCTCTGGCCAACAGGACATTCCAGGCTGAAGAAGAAGTTTAGGAACGCTTTTGTCGACGTATTCGTGGTCCTAATGAAGTGTTTTGTGGATCAATGATTTTATCAAGATCCCTCATTTCCTTCTTCAGGACATCTAGCAATGTCTGAGAATTGTCCAGTATCTGGGAAAGAAATAAAAATAGCTTATTTTTACACAAACTGTTTCTCTTATGAATTCCCTTCCAATTCAGCTGATCTGCCTTGCAGCAAGAGGGGCTATCCAGCCTTTCAGCCTCTAATTCCTGGTGATTTATTGTCCTGTCTCAGTGTGGGAATATCTGTGGGCCAATTTCTCTGGTTTGTGTTCATATTCTGAATATGAAAGGCCTTAAGCAATTTATCTGCCTTGGAGCAGAGGCAGAGATCTTCCTGAAGCAGACTGGGGGTTTTGGTTGGTGTTTTTTGGTTGGTTGGCTGGTTTTTTTTTAAGGGAGATTTGGTACCTGGGTTTTTTAGGTCAGTATTAAATTGTGCTCAACTGACCCAGTTTCAACTCTTTTCCACTGTTAAAACTGCACATTTTGGGTTTCTGGCTTCACGACTAACTCAAATCTCCAGTGACCTTATGTCAGACTAGATCTGTTATTAATTTTCTCCTATTTTTAGCTCACTGTGTACATAATCTAACATCCCTACTTCCCGTGCTCTAAGCTACAACATATTTAGGAGACCTTGCTGCCTGTCCACCTCACCAGTTAAAAATTTTAACACAGTGGACAACTGTAACCAAATGTGATGGTTATAGTCCCAAAAATAATTTATGTTCTTGTGAATTTGTGGAAATCAGCAAGTGATCAGAGAGGAGCTGAGGGAGTGCCCCACAGGACGAGGTGCTGGAGGAAGGTGAAATCCTGTGGGGGTGGCGGAAGGCAAGGAGTAACAAACCAGGAAAGGAATTCTGTTACTTTCTGTCTGTAGGACACCAGCATCTCCTCCTCACAGCCTCTTTCTGCCTCCTGTGGGTGTCAGTTCATGTCAATAAACAGGAATTCATCTGTAGGCTGGGGGTGTGACTTGGATCTCAGGTAAGCTTTGTTTTTAAAGGGGCTGTTTCTGTACCATACAACATAGTTTTTAAGCTTTTAAACTTTTCTGTGAGTTTCCCATTTCACTTCAAACCATCAGGTCTTGAAGGAGGTCGAGGAAACATCTCCAGCTTCATCTGAAAAGTGATTGCCAGGGGCAAGCACTGACTTTGAGAGAGGAAGAGGAGCTGACACAGTAGTTGGTCATATTCAAAATGCAAATGGGAGGAGAATTTAGGCAGCAGCTAATAGGGGAAAGGTGTTTCTGACACAACCTCTGCCTGGTCACCATGAGAAGGAAGATTGTTACTTATCTGAAAAGAGGCTGGGAAGATCCTTTTTTAAAGAACTAAAAGCTGTTGGTGTGTCATACAGAAGTGACTTCTGGCCACAGCTGTGGCCCTGTCTGTGGGGATCAAGCAGTCCCTGCCTGGCAGTAACACACAGAAGGGAATGGGTAGAGCTGTCTCAGGAACCAAAATGACAGTGCCAGCCCTTGTGCTGTACTGCCCCAACAATTTGACTCTTTTAATGACATTGTTCTATTAAAGATGAAAGAAACGACACTAAATATTGGGCTGGAAGAGTGGAAGGCCAACAGCTCCATCAGCACCATTGTTCTCTGCCTGAATTAGCAGGATTGTGGGTCACTGTCATGTCTCTGGTTTCCTCCTCTCCCCCCAAACCATGGGTCTGAGATGGTAATTTTTAGGGGTCTGTTCCAAAAGCTATTTTAAATGTATTTTGACAATAAACTTTCCCCAAGCCCAAGCAGCACCAAAACAAGCCCCATCCCAACCCTCTCATGATGGGGTCTGTGTGCCAGAGCTGCATCCCGGGCCTGGGAAGTTGTTTTGGCTGCAGGGCTATGACCCAGGGAGGAGTGGTGGTTCATGGAGGTGCTCCCGACCGACCTTCAGGTAAATACAGACTGAGCTCACACATACATACATACACACATATGTATATGTGTATGTATGTATATCCCAAACCTCCCCTGACACACCGTTAGGTTGGAGCTCAGGGCAAGGCTCTTCCCCCAGAGGGTGCTGGCACTGCCCAGGCTCCCCAGGGAATGGGCACGGCCCCGAGGCTGCCAGAGCTCCAGGAGCCTTTGGCCAGCGCTGCCAGGGATGCCCAGGGTGGGGCTGTTGGGCAGGGACAGGGGCTGGGCTGGGTATCCTTGTCCACCTCAGGTTATTCAGATTCAGTGATTCCCTCGCGCCCTGTCACAGACAGCAGAGATCAATGCCGTCCCTCCTCCTCCCCTCACGATGAAGCTGCACAAGGCGCTGTCCCTCGCTGGCAGTACCTCCCCGGAGGCTATGTCCATCTCGGCGATGGTGCGGTCGATGTGGGCTCGGGTGGACCGGAGCCCGGCCAGGCTCTCGCTGGTATCGGACAAGCGCCGGGAGAGCGTCGCGATCCGCGCCTGCAGCCGGCCCCGCTCCGCCTCCTCGGCCTGGATCCGCCCGCTCAGCTCGTCCCGCCGGGCGCGGAGCTCCGACAGCCCTGCGGGGCGGCACCGTCAGCCGGGCCCGCGCCCCCTGCCCGGCCCCGGCCCCGGCCCCGCTCGCCCCGGCCCCGCTCACCCTCCCGCAGCGCCGCGTGGTGCCCCCGCAGCGCGGCTCCGGTGCCGCTCATCGCGGCGGCCGGCGGCGCTCCGCCCCTTCCTGCGGCCCGAATGGAGCTCTCGGCTGCCTGGCACACGCTCAGCACCGCGCTGGTGCCGCCCGCCGCGCTGGGGCTGGTGAGTGGCGGACCGCGCGGGGGTCGCGGAGCTCCGCCGGGCCCGGGACAGGCCCGACCCGCCGCCCCCGGGATGCTCCGGCCTCGGCTCCTCCCCGGCCGGGCCTCTCCGGCTCTGGGTCCGCGGGGCGGGGTGGGAGCTGTCGGAGCCGAGGGAGGAACGGCCGGGGCTGAGGGAGGAACGGCCGGAGCTGAGGGAGGAACGGCCGGGGCTGAGGGAGGAACGGCCGGGGCTGAGGGAGGAACGGCCGGGGCTGAGGGAGGAACGGCCGGGGCTGCCGGGGCGGGGAGGAGGGGAACGGGCTCCTGGGTGTGCGGGGATGGTGTCTGCTGGGGACTGTCAGGGAAGGGCCGCGGGCCCAGCTGCCCTCTCTCCCTGTCACCCCAACCAGGGGCGGGATGGAAAGGCCGCAGCTTGCCCGGCCGTGCTGTGGCTCTGCTCCCGCTCCGTCTGAGGGAGCTGGGCAGCCAAGGTGGCTCGCAGCATTTCCACCAGCACCTGTGTCCTGCAGCAGCCACCTGCAGGGACAGCAGTGATGTGTGCGGGTGTGAGCCCTGGGAGAGGGCGCTGGGCATCCAGCGGTGGGCTGAGACCCCGGCACATGGCCATGGAGGAGCAGCATCCCCCCAGTGCAGTTTGACAGCAGAGTCCCTATGTGCTCCATCAAATGCTTAGCTCACGTTCCCTCTGCTTTCCAGGCAGCCCCGAGGCCCGAAGCTGCCGCGCCGCTGCAGGATGCCGAGCTCCGGGCAGCCCTGGACGTGCTGCAGTGCTACGACTTGCACTCCGTCGTGGAGGAGTGGTTCATCGAGGTGCTGCAGACTGACCTGCAGGCGAATATCGCCCCTGAGTTCTGGAACTGCATTGTACAGTATGAGAACACGGCTGAAGAGCCCCAGTGCGCCGCGCTGCTCCTGGACGCGTTCAGTCTGCTCAAGCGCCGCCTGGAGCCCTACCTGAACAGCCTGGAGCTCCTGGAGCAGTGGACCAAGGCAGGCCTGCTCCTGGGCACAGGCGCTCAGACACTGCAGGAGAAGGTCTACACCATGTTCAAAGCTATCCTCTTCTTCTCCACAACCAAATCCTTCCAGGCGATGATCCAGCAGTTCTACAGCCGCACGTTCAGGATATACATGCGGCAGTGGAAGAAGGGAGAAGATGGAACGAACGAGTGTGAGAGCAGCATGAGTGAGACCGAGCAGGAGAGTGACCCAGAGGAGGGCGGAGGAGAGGGCCAGCTCTGTGCAGGCTGCAGCAGCAAGAGGGAGCAGTGCTGGTGCCCTCAAGCCATGGAGCAGTTCCAGCAGCTCAATGACATTCTGTAGGTATCTCAGGGGGTGGTGGCTGTCACTCAGAGCACGGGGGGTATGGATGTGGAGCAGCAGCAGGTTTTATTGATCCCTGAGAACAGGAGGAGCCGTGTAAGTTCAGGCTGTGTCATGGTGGTGGGTAGAGAACTCAGAATAGACTTTCTGTTTTCAACTGGTGGTTGAACAAGAGCAGATCTTTAGATGAAAGTTCCTCTCCCTGGATATGAGAATATCCTCCTCTTGCTCTGAGGCCTCTGATCACAAAGAAGCAAACCAGAGCAAGGTGTCCCTGCCCATGTCAGGGGTTCCAACTAGATGATCTTTAAGGTCTCTTCCAACCCAAATCATTCTCTGATTCTATGAAACTCTTCTAAATGAAAGAGCTTTTGATGGCTTTAAATGTCTGTAAGGAAGATGGGATAGCAGTAGTGCCATGTGTTACATGTGTAGTGCATCTATGTGGGCTGTCAGAGCATGTGGCCCAAGCTGGGCCTGTCTCTGTGGAATGTACAGGGAGGGTGGTGCCTCCAGCTATAAGATTTTCTTGATTTGCTGGTGCCTTTTGTCCCACATGCTCCTGACGGTGTCCCTGTGCCCGCAGGCGGCGGCTGAATTTGCTGGAGAGGGTGAGTGCTGACGCTGTGACCACCATCCTGCACAGGATGATCGAGGAGAGGATGGAGCAGCGCTGCCGCGGGGAGTACGAGCACTCCTTCCTCAGTGAGTTCCAGGAGGTAAGGCACGTGTGGGGGCAGTGAGGGTCCTCCTTGGGAGATAACAGAATCCCTGGGCTGGAAGAGACCGTCAAGATCGAGTCCAACCCAGCCCCAACACTCAACTCAACCTTGGCACCCAGTGCCACATCCAGGCTTTGTTAAACACACCCAGGGATGGTGACTGCACCACCTCCCCGGGCAGCCATTCCAGAACTTTATCACTCTGTGAAAAACTTCTTCCTAATATCCAGCCTACATTTCCCTTGGTGCAGCTTGAGACTCTGGTTGTGTCAGTGCTGCCTGGAGAAAGAGCCCAGCCCGACCTGAGCACAGCCACCTTTCAGGGAATTGTAGAGAGTGATAAAGCTGTGCAGCTGTTGTTGTTTTTTAGCAGCTCAGGCTAAAAGCAGATTCCAACTTAAAACACCTGGTCCCGGGCTAGGATTTCCACCATGCCTGGCAGGAGAGGTGGCTAAAACTCCCAATTTTGGCTGATGCTGGAGGGGAAGGTTTGCTCTGACCTGAGCATGAAGCAGTCACATTTCCCCTCATGATGTCTGTAGTAATGAGGGAATTTCTGTGGTTCCAGTTTACAAACCACAAGATCAACAAGTGCCACCTGGCCTGCAGAGGGTCCTCCCTCTGTGTAGCTGAGCCCATAATTAGAATTTCTGTGCCTCTTTTCAGTCCTCTTTCCAATTCCCCTATAAAATTGGAAGCAAGGTGAGAGAGGATACTCTGGTATTGATCTCACCAGTGGCTACACAGAATTAAAATAATTCTTTGCAGCTGTTTAGTTCTTTGCTGCTATTTCAACTAAGTTTGTGTTGAGCTGTTTATCCACCATGACTTTAAAATAAATTATTCTCCAGGTTATGGCTGCTCCAGGACACAATCCTGAGCTCAGTGCTCCTTGCACATGACCTTCCCTTTGCCCGTGCTGGAGAACCAGGCCTGCAGCCAGGTTCCCATGCAAAGCACTTTTTGCCATGCCAACCATTTTTGTTGCTGCAAACATCAGGAATCTTTTTGTGTTTACTTCCTTTTGGTTGTTGTGCAACACTTTCTTTACTGCACCTCGTGTGAAATGCTTTTGGATGACCTGGAGATTGTTTAAGGATATTTTCAGGGCACCACAGAAAACACACCTGCATTCTACTCCTGAGATGCTGCTCTTGCTTCCACCTCTTGTTTGGCTTTAGAGTGTTGGAGCATGTCAGGATTAGGAAGAGGTAATTTTAAGGAAAAAAAATTAAAAGCACAGGCCTGGAAATCTAATGCTTAAACAGAGAAGACTGAGAAACAGCTCACTGAAAATTGCAGGTGCTGAGGGCAAAGCCTCTTTGCCAGCACAGCAGCAGCTGCCTGGAGTGTCAGGTCACAATCAGGCTGTAACAGGAGCACTCAGGGAAGATAAACTCAAGGGAAGAATGGGTTGTTTGGTAATAATTCCTTAAATTTGTGTTGCTTTGCATCAGTTATAGCCCTGTCCTTTTGTCCTTTAGGGGAATTCTTTATCAGCTTCTCCACAGTTTTGCCCAGGTGTTTGTAATACTCAGGTTTGTCCTGGCAAAACTTGTGCATTTCTTCAGTGTTTTCTCCATTGAGTAATTAAAAATAAACATCAGCAAAGCAAACCTTGACTTAGCATTTTTGTTTCAGGCTGTCAGAATCTATAAAAAATACAAATACCTAGTATTAGAGTGGTAGTAGAATATCTTGTAGCATATTGATACTCAAATACTATCCCAGGAAGTAGCATGTATTTGCTAATTGATGAGGGGGAAAAAGGCAGTTATTTCAAACATCTGGATATCGTAATTGGCTATGTTTGAAATTTGGCAATTACATATTTCTCACTAAAGCACAAATATTAAAAAAATAACCTTCTTATGCTCTCTGTTCAGGTTTTTATTTTATAATTCAGTGACAAGGCTGGTATTTGGATTTCAGATGCCTGAGTTGTGTTGGGTGTCTGTGACTTCTTGGGATATCTTATTTGCTTTTCACTGATTTCAGGGACCATAGAAATTTTGGGGCAAGGATGGTGTAATGGGCAATTTGCTCATTTTCTTATGAATGGGACAGTTTTGCAGGTATAGAATGGGATGAAACTCTGCAAGAACGAAATAGGCTGCAAGTTTTGGAACAAACCCTGTCCTTTTTGGAGCCCGGTGCCTGCAGGCAGTCCATGGTCACCCCTTATCTTCTCACACCCAGCTGCACAGTCCATATCCTGTATCTTTAGTTAGAGTTCCAATTCTTTCAGCTGGGCTTTCCCCAGCTATAACCCAGGCTGGGGCACGTTTGAGGAGCAGCTGGGGGTGATGCTGTCCTGGTCCAGCTGCCCCTTTCTGCGGGCTGTGGTGGCTGCCTGGGGTGGGTTGGGATGTGGCTGTGCATTCACATCTGTTTCTCCCTCTCATGGTGCAGTGGATAGAGAAGGTGATTGGGTGGCTCAGCAGGGTGTTCCTGCAGGATGGCCCCTTGGCACAGTCCTCCCCAGAAGCCAGCAGCACCCTGAAACGCTGGCGCTGCCACGTCCAGAGGTTCTTCTACCGCATCTACGCCAGCATGCGCATCGAGGAGCTCTTCAGCATCATCCGAGGTGCTTCACCCTTGGGCTGGGACTGGCTGGGTGACAGAGCTCTCTGATGTCTCCCCCTGCCTCCCCTCAGAGCCTGGCGCTGCTCCTGATCACTGCTTGGTTTGCAGATTTCCCAGAGTCAAAGCCTGCTGTGGAGGACCTCAAGTTCTGCCTGGAAAGGACTAACCAGAGGCAGCAGCTGCTCAGCTCCCTGAAAAGTGCTCTGGAAATGAGACTTCTGCACCCTGGTGGGTTTTACATCCTTGTCTGTGTCCTGACACTGTAAGGAGCCTGGACATGAGTGGGGATCTACTTGGAGCTGGTTTAGTTTCCTCTTTGAGGAGTGAGGGGCAGTCACCATGCCC